TTGTGGTGTTGACGAGGCATTCGGGTTTTGGGGGGTTTAGGGGAGTTTCTAGGGTAGGGACACGTATGACAAAATGGTATAGAAATTTTTTTAATGGATTGCGTATAGAATTTTGAGAGGATTTTCGTAGTGATGTTCGGATATTTCTGTACGGATATTTCTTAGGCAAATTATTTCTATACGATTTCTATAGGTTTGATCCTGTACGAACCACTGCCGCTTGGATAGAAACATTTCGTATGGAGTTGCGACGTTCATCTACGTTTTTCTCTGGAGCGTTTAGACATGTCGGATGGAAACAAAAATTTATGTAAAAATTTATGTATAGAAATATCCGAGAACGGAAATCCTATAGAATTTTTATACGTGTAGAAAATTTCTATACGATTTTTTCATACGTGGAGAGGCGGTAGTAAATTATGTTTTGAAAATTGTGGCATTGTGGGTTGAATATGTTGAAATTCACGCGCGGGTGTTACTTGAATTTGAAAAAATAAGGGAGACGAGGCGAGAAATTAAAATTTTTGTCTTGTTGTTGAGACATCAGTCGATTTTTGGAGGATTTAAGGAAAGCCCTGGTCTCAGGTGTATGTGACAATAATTTATGTTTTGAACATGAGGAAATTGCGTTCCGAGAATCACACTTCGGTGTTGTGTCCAGTTCATGACAAAATTGAAAATTTAAACCGTCAATTTTTGTGAATTTTTTCGATAAATCTGAAATTGTATAAACAATTTTACGTACAGCTGTCACTGGGATTTCAAAAATTTTCTGACACTGCTGTAGTTTGTCGTAATGATGAGGAATAGCTTTTGAATTTTCAAACAGGAAATAAAAATCTTTATGGATTCTCAGGTACAAATCATTTTATTTTTGAAGGATATAATAAAATTTTTAGTTTGAGATACAGGCGGAAATGAATTTTATTTCGAAAATGATAGAATTATGTGTCAGAAATCACAATTGGATGTTGTGTCCAATATTTATTACAAAATAGAGAATCTAAATCGTAAATTTTCGTGAATTTTTTAGATAAATACGAAACTTTATGAATAATTTTACGTACAGCTGTCACTTGAATTTCAAAAAACTTGTGACAGTGCAGTACATTTTGTCATAATAATGAAGAATAATTTTTGAATGTTAAGAGAAAAAATTAAAATCTTCAGGTGTTCTCATGCACAAATCATTCAATTTTTGAAGGATTTAATGAAATTTCCAGTCTGAGATAAACGCGAAAATGAATTTTGCTTTAAATATGCTGGAATTACGTTTCAAATATCACAATTCGATGTTGTGTCCGCTATTTATAAGAAAATTGAGAATCTAAACTGTCAATTTTCGGGACTTTTCGAGATAAATCAAAAATTTTACGAACGATTTGGCCTTCAATCAGTTTAAAAATCACAATATTGTGAATTCCCGTGCAGTCACTTAAACTTCGAGAAAATGCTGAAAATGTTGTAGAATTTCCGGTAACGACTTGGGGAAAGGTGCAGTTTTGTTGTGTTTAGCGTGATGATTTGTGATTGAAGTTGTGGGCATGAACTCTTCAAGCGAGTCGGAGTACACGTGCCACCCGCACGTGGCACTTCCGTAGGACTCCGAAATCTTTCTGGTATGGTTTTATCGGTTCAAAGGTTGAGGCTCTGCTTCACGTAAGAATTTGACAGGGGGAAAGAAACCATTGAGTGAATTATTTTTGGTCTATTATTTATGAATTTGTTCCTCCTTCGAGTCAATTAGCACGGCCATCCAGCGAAAAAGTGCAGATATCTTCAGAGTGAGGGGATTTAGCGAAAAATGTCCGGGAACATTTTTTGTAGACAATTTCATAACCTCCAAGAAAGGTTCTATGACTTTTTCCGCTTAAATCAATGGTTTTCAAAATATTTACGAAATAGCCTGCAAGGTAAAATAACTGTTTCAAAATTTTCAATATTTGGAGACCAAATATTGCGATTCAGACGAGTCAAATTTAATTCAAAAGTCCAAAACAAAATTTGGAAATGAAAAAACAATTGTTCAATTTCACTCTGTCAATTTCGAGTTCTTAACGAATTAGTGAAGCCTATTACCAAATTATCCGATTATGTAAAACCATTTTTTAGCGTAAATGCAATTGAGATTTTGTATGAATTCTTTTTATAACTGAATATAAAAATTGGGGGAAAAATAACGGACCTGTATTTTTTATTTGATTTTATGATATTCCAAAGTAAAAAGTCTCATATTTTCCCTCCGATTCAGTAGTCGAAGCGGTGGAACGGTTTAAGGATATCCGAGTACCTTTTACGAATCTGAATAAATTTGTTACGATTTTGAACAAATGATTTTTATGATGAAAAATTGATTGTTTATAAATCATTCGTAGAAAATCCTCGTAATTTTCAAAAATTGCAACTTTCAGGTCATTTCATCAATTTTGCTCCAAAACTAAACTTTAATTTTTTTTTCAAATTTTTAAAATGTTTTCTAACGGTTTAATGTCGAGATTCATTGGAAAATGGCTCAAGTGAAAGCTCTGATGTTCAAAGTACTTGCATTTCTCAAGTCGACTTTGACTATTGACCATTTTTCCGTGAATATCTCGAAATCCAAGTCAAAATATTAAAATATAAAATATTAAAATTAAATTAAGCATAAGAAAAAACCAAATAAATAACTATTTAATAAATATAAACAATATATCACAATACATAGATAATATATTATATAAACATTCAATATTATTTTTTCATTATGCTCTCCAATTCGCTCCAAAAAAAACTAATCACTAGAATTCCGTTATCTCCTTCAGATTCGGAGATATTCCTCGCAAACTCAGCTACGGGCCAACTCAACTCCGTTTACCGCTCGCTACCGAACATCAATGCAAAAGCTCAATTCTCTTAAAAAACACCTTCAGCATTCCACTCCAATGCCCCCGAAACGAAAGAAAAACCTCTCCCGCTTCACTCAGCCTTTGAGTCCCCGATCCCCTCAATTGTCCAGCCCCTTCCCTGCATGAAACCGAGCCACCTCGATACCCTATCGTATCCCCGATATCATGTGTAAACTTTTAATTGTAACGAATTGACGACGGGTTTGTTCCGAGTAAACGTCTCCTCTCCCGTCAATCGACCCAACCTGGTAGCCGATAGTCCCAATGAAACTGTCGCGATAACATCCTCCCGATAACACGAAACCCCGAGATTCCATCAACCGGCGGCCGAAAACCAAAAAAACACCGAATCAATTCCCTCAATTTTCCCCGCTATTTGTTTTCATGAAAACAATAAACCCCAAATGAAAATAAACTCTCAGTTTTCACTGGCTGTTGATCTAGGGTCGAGATGCATCGTTTAACATCCCCCTCCCTCTCCCTTCGCCCCTCGAACGGGGATCTCAGACCTTGTGCACACAAGTCCCTCTTCACAGCCCTCCAGGGCCCAATGGGCAAATATTTTCGCGCGGCACCCAAATGACGTGTACACTTCCCCGCTCCCTCCACCTCACTGTATTTTCTCTCCACCCCTGTGAGGGATTATGCGTGTGTCGGCATGGCGAAAAGAAAGCTCCGAAAATGCGGTAAAAACCAATTCCACTCGGAAAAATAAAAGCCGAAAAAACGAATTCTGAACTGACCTTAAGGATGTACACCCTTTCGCCCAAAATTCACGTTTTTTTTCATTTTTCTGACAAATTATTGATGGGATTGAGGCGAAATAATATACCGTTTTTGCGTTTTATCATTATTGACTGACTCACGAAGTTTCATGGTAGTGCAATCATTTTCCTGCATTTTTTCTAAAGTTTTGTGAATTTCCAAAAAGTTTTGGAAAAAACGGAGGAAAATGATCGCGCGATCATGACATTTCGTGAGCCATTAAGTAATGATAAAACGCAAAAACGTATATTTTTCACGTCAATCGGATCCACAATTTACCAGAGAAATTAAAAAAACGTGAATTTTGACGAAAAGGGTGTAATACATCCTCAATGGTCCCTGGGGTTGCGGGAGAGGATTGCGAAAAAATCGAGTGAAATTGTTGTTGGCTGTTATGTTAATAACTGGGAAAGGGGCATATCTTCACACACGCACGTTCAGTATTACACTGAGAGAGGAAATTAGCTCTGTCGAAAAACTACATCAGTAGCGAAGAGGTAAAACGCTACAAGTCAATTTTGACTATTGACTAGTTTTCAATGAATATCTCGGAATCTAAGGGAGATAGCAAAATTCATATTATAACCTTTTTCGTAGACCCGATTGAGAGCTACAACAAATATAATTACGAAAATTTCTCTATCTCCTTCAGATTCGGAAATATTCCTCGTTTTTTTTCTTCTAAATGACAGCTGTATGAACCCGTAGGTTTCGCGCTTATAAAATAAAAAAAAATCAAAAAGAAATATTCCTCAAAAACTCAACTGGGAGATAAATCGACTAGAACCGTTTCACCACTTCGCGACTATGTTCCACGTTAAAAAAAAATGTAATGTCTTTCACAAAAAATGCGGTAAACAGCGATTCCACTCGGAAAAATAAAATCCAAAAAAACGAATGCTGAACTGACCTTAACGATCCACTGGGTGAGTGTGGACTGGATCCCTGCTCATGCTCCTGATTGACTAGCTTTCAATGAATATCTCGGAATTTAAGGGAGATATTATAACAAAATTCATAATATAACCTTTTTCATAGACCCGATTGAGAGCTACAACAAATATAATTACGAAAATTTCTCTATCTCCCAGAGATTCAGAAATATTCCTCGTTTTTTTTCTTCTTAATGACAGCTGTATGAACCCGTAGTTTTCGCGCTTATAAATTAAAAAAAATCAAAAAGAAATATTCCTCAAAAACTCAACTGGGAGATAAATCGACTAGAACCGTTTCACCACTTCGCGACTATGTTCCACGTTAAAAAAAAATGTAATGTCTTTCACAAAAAATGCGGTAAACAGCGATTCCACTCGGAAAAATAAAATCCAAAAAAACGAATGCTGAACTGACCTTAACGATCCACTGGGTGAGTGTGGACTGGATCCCTGCTCGTGCTCCTGATGATGATGCGGTGTTCCCGCCGAATGGTACATGGCGTCGATGTAGAGCTGATCGGATACCCTGTCCCCCTCGAGAATGTGTCCCTGGACGTTGCTGGTGGGTGGTTGCATAGCAGTGAGATGTGTGAAATTCTGGAGTCTCCCCTGGTCACTGGGGCTGTAGCCCCCCTCGTGTCGCTGCGGCGAGTTTAATCCCTGATCGTCGTGGGGGCTTCTGCTCGATCCCGGCGAACTTGCCGTCCTCACAGGTGGCGACACATCGCCGGCCCTCATCTGGTGCACGTAAGCCTCCTCCGGCAAAACATCATCAATGTGATGATGTCCACTGTCACTCGCGCATCCAGCACCGCCCGTTAAATTCGGAAACAAAACCGCCAGGGGAAAATCACCACTCCTCGGATTTCTCATTGCCGCTGCAATAGCACTCAGTCTCTCGTCATTGTCAAGGTTACTGGGCTCGTCGAGGTGACGATGCAAGTGGGAATTGTGCTGATCGGAGATGTGCGATTGACTCTGACTCGGTGATGGCGAGAGTTGCTCGGTACTGTATCGTAACATTGTGCTGTGTGGCATGTGACTGGTAACTCGATTTCCCTCAGACGGTAGTGTTGCCTCGGACCCTCTATGCTGGTTATCCCCTCCCTCGGGAATAGCTACCTCCGTACCAGCCCCACCGAGCTCAGTGTAGTGATGAAGATCGTGGTGATGATTCTGGTGGAGGGAGACGACCTGCTGCTGATGGCTCCGCTCCTCCTCTTCCTGCGGGTTGTCAACGCCTTCGTACACGGGGGATGATGAGTGGAGGTAATCCCTGGGGTCAATGAATTTATTAGTCCTGGGGAGAGGGGTGAACGCGAAATTTTCATTTGTACGGCTATTGCCTCAGAGGGGAAACTTTGGTATCGCCCAATTTGAGGTTTTTATTCTTGGGTTTTAGAAGTTCGAAAATGCACTGATTGAATGATTCATTTATTTCAGACGACATTCGTTAACTGCATGGAGAGAAATTTTTGGTAAAAATTACCCTACCGGTCTATAAAAGTGTATCATGAGTCATCGTTAATTCATTTCTATCCCGAAATTTAGTAAAAATTAATATATGATGATCAAATTTTATTCTACGGCAGAGAAATGTTATCCTGATGAAAATAAAAATTACCGTGCCGGTAGAGTAAAATTTACCAAACCTTCTAGAATTTTCGTTGTTATCTACATAAAAATTACTGGACTGGAAGGGTAAAATTTCTCTAACGTAGAATAAAATTTGATCATCATCTATTAATTTTTACTAAATTTCGGGACAGAAATGAAGAAACGATGACTCATAATACACTTTTATAGAACGGTAGGATAATTTTTATCAAAAATTTCTCTCCGTGTATTGACGAATGGTAGAGTTGAATATGACCAAATAAATATTCGTTAATATTGGTTGAAGACCCTCGGACGATGGCCTATTGGAAGAGATTTATTTTTTGTGCATTTTTCTTATAATGAATTTCGTTAGAAATTGAAAAAAAAATTAATTATTCGTTAATAGTTAACGAATGGTTCGTTTCAAAGGTGACAGTCGAGTCAAACAAGGCTCGTGGAATATGCATTTGGTAACTATTAATGAATGAACATTTGGTGAGACCAAATAGCTCCTAGCCTCCAACCAAATCCATTAGTTAACAATAACTAATCCTTCCTACCAGTGGGTAATTTTTTGGAATTGTAGGGATTGGCAGGGATATCCAAGGACTTTGGCTATTTTTTCGCCAGGGAAATGCTTCTCTAGTTTTTTAGTCGAACATCGGAGCTTTCAGTTGAGCCCCATCTGAAGCTACGTTTCCGGGCGGTTTACAATGATTTTATTATTTAAACTTTGTGCGTCTGAATTTGAATCTCGATATTGAACCGTTAGAAAACATGTTGAAGGTCTGAAAAAAAATTATAAAGCAAATTTTTGGAGGAAGATTGGCGAAATAATTTAAAAATTGCTAGTTTTTTATAAACAATTTATAAACAATCAATTTTTCACTATAAAAATCATTTGTTCGGAATAGGAAATCGATTTTATGCCTGAGAAAATGAGGTTTCCGAAAGTTTAAACCATTTCAATTTTGTATTTATGAAGAACGAATGGTTAAAAGAATAATAATAATTCTGTGCGCAATTTAATTGACAAATTTGATAATTGAAAATGGTTGAATTTATAGTGTGGTCTGTACCCAACTGTAAGAGATACTTGGATATCCTTAAGTTCTATTCACCAATGTATTAATGTTGGGAGACTTTTAACATTCTTTTGACGAACTTTAACATCACAAATATTTATTTTGCATTGTTGAAAGGCAGGGATGGAAAAAAAAGATGTTTTAGTCGTTTTCATGAATTTCTAGAGAAATTCTTTGACTTCATTCTCCTAATTCTATTAATTAAAAAAGTATTTATTCTCCTCTTTGGGGGGATGTTATCAATTGTTATCTCATGGTTTTTTGAGTTGATTCATTCACCATTGGGGGATCATTTAATAATTATTATCTGAGACTTCACACATGCCTTTGGAATTTTTTAAACATTTTTTAAATGTTTTTTATAATTTTTGAAAAGGGCTGAGACCCAGAGAAAAATGCCAAAAGGGATTTTTCATGGGAATTTCCAAGAATTTTTTGACACGTTCAAAAACGTCGGTTTTTCCACTCTTTCGTGATTTTGCTAGACATTTCAGGGGAATTTATCATTAAATTAGAATCATGAGTATTGAAAATAAATCGACCCATTAATTCCCTCCCTATAATTAATTATTTCGTTATATTTATACAATTATATTTAATATAATTAATTATTTTTTTATGCCAAAAATTAAAAAAACCATTGAATGGCCTCGCGTCCCCTCGAACACTTCAGTTTACCTTTCGTGAATGATGTGATGCCCAGAATGATATCCCAATTGATGCAGCGTATACCCGTTATTCCCATCATCCCCGTGCTCGGGCACAACGAGTGAAATAGCAACGGGCTCGGGTGCACTCGGTTCCCCAAGAGCGCCATTTTCAATTTCCGGTCGGACCGCCTCCAGCACGCCCACACTCTCCCCGCCATCCTCAGCATAGTCAAGCTCATGCTCCTGCTGATGTCTCAAGCACAAAACATTCACTTGCTCGGCTTCACTCTCGGCTTTTATCGACCCCACGATGCTACGGGCTGTGGCACTAGTCTCGTGATTTCCCTCGGTCTCCTCCGCCAGTTGCCTCTCCACGTAGTCCAGGGCATCTTTGATTCAACAGGCAGAGTCATCGATTTTAATTTTAATTGGTTGATTCACGGTTTTTATCATATGGTCATGATCAATAGGGGTTGCGCGAGAGGATTGCGGAAAAATCGAGTAAAATTGCGGCTGTTGTATTAATAACTGGGAAAGGGGCTTATCTGCACACTCGCACGTTCAGTATTCCACTGAGAGAAAAAAATTGCGCTGTCGAAAAAATATATGTTCCACGTTTGAAGAAAATTCAATGTCTTTCACAAAATAGTATATTTCGTAACGAGTGCAAAATAGTATATTTCAGCACGTGTGGGGCAATTTCGTCTTTAACGTGTGTGGGGTTTTCAGCACGAGCCGAAGGCGAGTGATGTAACCACACACGTTAAGGACGAAATTTCCCAACAAGTACTGAACAAAATTTTATGTCACGAAGCCTGAAACCGGCTGAATTAGACACGAGACGCGAAGCGTCGAGTGTGTAATCCAGCCGGTTTCAGGCATGAGTGGCTAAAAAACATTTTTTCACGAGTTACGAACAATATTTTTCATCACAATGTGGCGGAAATTGGACTTTTAGGCACGCGGAGCGTGCCGAAAAGTTCACTTTTCGTCACAGCGTGATGAAAATTATGTTTTTGTCATTAGCAGCAGAAATTTCCCGAGAATAATTCGAACTGTCGGCAGGAAAATCTACGACAATCATTTGATCTGAGAGAACTCCATAGGTTTATACCATAGAAAGAATACATTGACATTGAGAGAAGAATATTTTTTTCCCAAAAAAAAATTGTCCTCTCGAAATCATTTAGTTTCGCCGATAACACAGTTTTCGGCAAACAAATTGTAGTTTCCTCTTGACATTATCATTTGCTCAACGGAAATTATAAGTGCACGGAGAGGAATGTTCAGTAAAAATTACGGAACGCACGATTCACTCATCGATTACGAAATCGACTCAGAAAATTTAAGTGACGGTATCGGAATTTTTCACAGGAGATTCAGATAAAAATTACGGAACGCCCCGGAAAAATTCCCTGACAGTTCCGTAAAATTTCCTACAACCACATTTCGCTCCGGAATTATGGAAAAGATACGTAATTTTTATTGAATATTTCTCTCCGTGTGTTTATTGGACAAAAATATACACCACTCAATAACATTCACTTGATAAACCGGAGCCTCATATAATCCTCTGTAGAACTACGAAACTTATGTTCTGATGGAAACTTCTTTTTTGTCCACAAGTAAATTAATTGAATATGCCGAAAGATCTCTTCAGGGGAACATATAATTTTTCGGCAGAATTAACTTTTTCTCTCAGGGCACAAGAAAAGGAAAAAGATTGTGAATGAAAGAGCAATTGGGGGATTGCATATTCTTTTCATGCTGGATAAAAAAAATTGGATGACAAACATTAAACACAATTTTTTCATGTTTTTCATATGTTCCATTTATACGAACAGCAAATAGTTAATAATTTTTAATTGATAATTAACCATTTCTAAGCAATTGAAAATCGTCACGTTATACTGCAGACGTTTTTTTAATCAGCTACAACGTCTTCGTTTTTCATTTAATTCAATGAACAAATGTCATACAACGACTCAGTTATTTGAATTTTCGGATGACGTCAAACCGACGATTTGGTACATAACAAAAAATTATGAAGTGAACTTTGGAGTAAAAAATATGCAAAAATCATAACTATTGACTTTATGCATATACTATGACTATCAATTTATTTTCTGCCAATAACTTGAGAAAAAAATCGCAGAGTTTTAACATTGAGCTGACCTTATTGTCGGAACCTAATCAAATTGGAAAGGTCAGGCTCACTCCCCGATAATCCTCAAACTCCCCCAATTCATAAATTTGTATTGAAAAATAACGTATTTTTATCCAACAAACGGGACAGCAGCAGTACCAATTCACCCGTGAATGTGAGTGCTGAATAACCCAAACAAGTCTGAAAAACTTATTAAACTTCATGCCTATCACTCGACCCCGATAAATCATCAAAAAAAACTTCATCAAAACAAAGAGCCCTGCATGCCGGATTAAACCATTACCGCCACCCTTAGAGATTTATTGATGAATAAAATTTCGAATGTACTGAGGAAGAGGAACAAATCAACTCAGTGAAAAGGTAATTTTCACAGGTAATGATGAAAAAGAGTATTAAATATCCGTCTGATGCGTTAATTTTACGAATTATGCATAATTCGTAAAATTAACACATTAAAAATGAAGAGTTTAAAATTGAGGCTATTTCTTCCATGAGAGAAATGTAATTATTTGACCCTCATCAAAGACATCGAAAGCTTCGACTCGATAGCCTCAATTTTAAACTCTTCAATTTTACGGATGAAAAAAAATAAACAGGCAATGGTCAACTTTATTCTGCTGTTCTCAAAACCTCGACAAACCCCTCACTGTCATCTCAATCTCGCCCATAATAAGAGATCCCAAGAGATATGAATGAACCCCTTTATCTCGAGAGTTCAATGACAATATTCATCCTCACATAGCAATATTTTTCCTCATACAACATCCAGAAGTCCCAAAAACGGAGGAACAAGAAATAAAATAGAACCGAGAAAATAAAAAAAAACGGTGAACAAGGCAATCGTTGTGAGGAGTAGACAGGAAAAAACTCTGGCATAGGATATTTTGAGGCATAGGAGGTGCGAATCAAAAGTCTTTTAATGTTTCGATATCAAATTAGGTATTCCTGAGATAATTTTTAATTAATAATAAAAAATGTCATCTTTATCTCGCCCATAATCAGAGATCCGAAGAGATATGAATGAACCACTTTATCATAAGAGTTTAATGACAGTATTTATGCTCACATAGGAATATTTTTCCTTATTCAACATTCAGAAGTCCCAAAAACGGAGGAACCAGAAATAAAATAGAACCGAGAAAATAAAAAAAAACGGTGAACAAGGCAATCGTTGTGAGGAGTAGACAGGAAAAAACTCTGGCATAGGATATTTTGAGGCATAGGAGGTGCGAATCAAAAGTCTTTTAATGTTTCGATGTCAAATTAGGTATTCCTGCGATAATTGTTGATTAATAATTAAACATCTGAGCATTTTCTCTCTGAGCATTGTGATTTTTTAATTAATAATTGAATTTTTATTGAGGCAGGAGGTGCGAAAGTCACTCCCGTGCAAATACTAAAAATTTGTTCAGGAAATTTAGATTTTTGTCTGACACTGAATTTGGGATTCTCCATTTATGTGATAGAATGAAACGATTTACTCGTGAAATCGCCCTGAGGATGAGTAATTTTCAGACAAAATATCGCTAGACCTATTTCTAGAAAGTTTTCAGTTGCGAAAAAAATTCTTTTGATGTTTCGCTGTAAAATTAGGTATTTCTGAGGTAATTGTTAATTAATAATAAAAAATGTCATCGTCTTTTCGGCCATAATCAGAGATCCCAAGAGATATGAATGGCCCCCTTTATCTCGAGAGTTCAATGACAATGTTCACCCTCGCACAAAAACATTTTTCCTCACTCAACATTCAGAAGTCCCAAAAACGGAGGAATTGAGAAAATAAAAAAAAACAGTGAACAAGGCAATCATTGTGAGAAATAGACAGGAAAAAACTCTGGCATAGGATACTTTGAGGCACAGGAGGTGCGAAGTTCCTGGCGATAAGGGCCCAGGTGTCTCCGCCCCTCCTCCAGAGTCCTCCAGCTTTCATAAACCGTTGGACTCGTACAAATAAAGCATAACAAACGAAAAAAACAAAGTAAAAATCTAGACGGTTTTGCCCGCTCTATCGTTCGGAATCGTTACGTCACGACTAAACACGAGAGACGTAACAGTTGGTTATAGTACGAGCGAGTGCTATGATAGCTTCTGGAGTAGAAACTAGAGATAGCATGCAATCGTTCAAGTCCATTCATCCCGGGCACAAAATGATAGGCTAATCTACCTCATTCTTTCTTCGCAAGTTGTAACGTAATGATTTTAACACTTGAGTTGTTTCCGCAATGATTGTGGTGGGGGAACAATGTTGTGAGTTTTCCTGGTGATTAGGATTTGAAGGCAGCTTTGATGACGATGGGACCATCAATTATTCAGTTAATTAAATTCAAATCAGTAATGAAGCGGTAAACCGAGTTAAGTCGATTTTGACTATTAGCCAGTTTTTGCTGAATATCTCGGAATCTAAGAGAGATAGCAAAATTTTTCTCATGACTTTTTTTATAACGCTCTATTAGCTCTACAAAAAAGGTCATGACAAAAATCTTTCTATCTCTTTTAGATTCCGAGATATTCGTCAAAAACTAGCCAATAGTACAAAACGACTTAACCCGGTTTACCGCTTCGCTACTGAAATATTTATTGAATTGTGAATTATGGATGAATTCGAACTTTTAAAATGGGGAAAATTTATGGAAATATCGGGAAGTTTTTGTCGAGCGAGAGTTCCATGAAAATTTGAAGGGATTCCGTCACACTGTTGAAAAATTAATCCTAAAATTTCACGTAAAAAATTTTAAAATTTTTAATAATCACTCATTCACACAAAATTTTCATGGATTTTGTTATTGAAAAATCAGTTGATTTCTGGAGTATTCAATGGAATTGCAATTTTGAGGTCCACATCATAATGAAAATTATTAAATAATTTGAAAATTCAAGCAACAATTTCCCTCAATTTTCAATCCATTGAAAATTCAGTCGGATGTAATGTTTAATTTCCGCAATGAATGTGAAAATTCTAGATGTCATTGAAATATCAGTGATAATCTAACATGGAAAACCCAATTAACATGAGTTTCCGAATTCCTGAATGAGAGGTTCCATGACCGATTTCATCTTAAATTGAATTCAAATTCCCAATATTGAGAATTCAAGTGCAACTATAGCCTAATTTTCAAAAAATTTCTAACAGTGCACTGAACATTCCCAGTTTGATGAAAAAATCAACTGAGACAGTAAATTTTAGTTCAATTATTCCCTGGAAATTGATAGAAATCAAGAACT